TCAGTTTAGCCCATTGAAGGGCAGCCATGCAAACTGTGATCTCTCTTCATTTGAGCTGTTTCTTTCCCCCCTTTCTTCTCTCTCCCCTTTTCTCTTACCCCCCTTTAGTTATTTTTTTTTTAACAACTCAGGCCCCTCCAGAGAGATACCCTCCCCCCTTTCCCCGATATCTTCAGGAAAACACTTTTCTTTTTCTGATACGGAAAAAAATACAAGTGCCTTTGAAATGAGAGGCTGCTTGGTGGAGGCGGCGCAGCCTGTGACCTGACCTCAGGGGGCTCCCCAGACAAGACGGGGGCTGACACACACACACACACACACACACTGTGCATCTTAAAGCGGGGCTTGGAAATCGGCCCCTTCCACCCCAGGCCCCAGAACACACATGCAATGTGCGCCTGTGTGTCTCCGGGACTCTGCCCGCCTCTGCCCGCCCAGGGTGGGTGCCTGTGGTCAGGCATGAAAAGATGTGTTTGCAGAAGACTCTTGCCTGAGCACCCACACCTGTGGTCTCCCCGAGACTCAGATAACAGGGACCTTCATCTCCTGGTGGGGTGCTATGTGCTTATAACTATAGAGGCCCGGGCCTTTTGCAAATAGTAATGAATGAAACTGTTACGACAGTATCAGGCACTTCTCTCCCTGAAAGACCCAGGGGGAAGGCTGAGACTAACAATGATGGCAAGCGATTCACAGCCACCCCCAGGGCTGGGCATGTGGTGGGTGTGGGGTCCGGGGACTGGCTGACGGAGGCTGCGGGGCAAGGGGCCATCAGCAGGCTAGGTCTGCATCAGGCAAACGGTCCAGTGGTCCCGTTCTGACAGGTCCCCCCGAGGGAGAAGACTCCAGATTCGAGCCTCTGACATAGCCATCCCTTGCCGGGACACTGCCCTTTAATTGATCACCTCAGGACTTTTGAAGGCAGTGAGGGGGTTTTATGGAAACAGCAGCGATATAGGAAAGACTCAGAACCTGCCATACATTGGGTCCCCAGCTTTCCTTCCCACAGTGAGGAAGGGGCTGGGTTTTTTGTCCCCGCCATGCTAGCCACAAAGCTCTCCCCTGTCCCGATGGGAGCTGAACACACAGTGGGGGGCTAGGATCCCAGCCCCAAACCCACGTCCAAGTGGGGAGTGTGCTCCATGGGGAACCCCTTCCCCGCCTCGGCCTTGACAAAGGGATCAGCTGACAACTTAGCACAAGAAGGTGGAGGAGCCAGAAGGCTCAGGTGTGGCCCACAGTGCAAAGCCAGGCACTTGGAAAAATCATTTGGCCTCAAGAGTTAATGAATATGAGATCTATTGCTCACACAGGTTAAACTACATGCAAACTAATTAGATTTCATCACGCAGTCGGTGATGGTTTTCTATCGCCAGCAACATTCGTACGCTGGCAGCCAGGTTGGCAGACACTTGGAGTTGTTTGGAAATTGCCTGAAGTGTTTGCCTGGCCAGGGGGGAGCAAGAGGCCGGACTCCCCAGGCCCCGGCAGGCTCTCTGAAGAGTTATGATGGCCCCTTTCTCCCTCCTGCCCCTGCCTGGCGGCTCGCTCCCCTCCCCTGGCCGTTTGCATTGTCTTCCTAAGAATCTGGTTTTTGAAATTGGTGCCCTCCAGTTGGCTCTGCCTGGAGCTCCAACTCCTACCGAGTTAACAGGCAAACTTTCCCCTGCAAACGGCTGCCAGGACCGCCCCCAGGCCCAGGGGCATCTCTGGGAGGCGAAGCCAGGGTGACAGAGAGGACCACTGGGGGGCTGACAAGACCCCACAGGCTCAGCTGGCCCAGGGGGCCTGGGCTAAGGGTGTGTGTGTGTGTGTGTGTGTGTGTGTGTGTGTGTGGCAGAAGCTCACACCCAAGCCTGGCAGGAGGGCAGCAGGCCCCGGAGGCCTCCCCTTGGCCCATTTGAGAGTCTGTGTCTGCAGCATCCTGCCTGCTGCAGCCCAGCCTTCCTCTCCTTCCCACACAGGCCCAGCAGCTACTCCAAGTTCTCATCCAAGTGGCACCCCACAGTCTGGCCTTTCCAGGGGGAGGCTTGGTCCCTAACTCCGGGCTAGGGCCCTCGGGCGGGAGCAGGCCGGGCCCCTTCCTACCTGAGGTGAACAGGACGATGGCCTTCAGGCAGCTGTACTCGGCGGAGTCCACGTGGAGGGCCTTGAGCTTCTCCACTTGCTCCTGGAAGATGCGTATGTGGTCCATAAAAGCGACCACCCGGTCCGCGGACATGGGCGAGGCGTGCAGGCCGGCGGCGGCCAGGAGCGGGGCGACGTGGAGAGGCATGGAGCACTGGGCCGCGTTCAGCACGAACAGCTCGCTCCAGGTGAGGCGAAGCAGGGCCACCTGGTCGGTGATCTGCAGGTCGGGGAAGAAGGGGATGTTGCGGGCCCACTCGACGGCGCTGAAGAGCAGGCGCGCGGCCAGCTCGCAGATGTTCTCGATGCCCATGATGTTGTTGGGCTGCATGCACTGGCTGCCGAAGCGCGACGTGGGGTAGGGCTCCGCGCGCAGCAACAGAGAGATATATCCCGACAGGTAGGAGTGGCAGTTGAGGGGGTCCCCGTTGGTCAGCGCGAACTGCCCGTGGGTCGGCTGGGTGGGCGGCATCCTGCCCCTCTGGACCGCT